AATCGGGATTGGTAGCGCCGCATGTACGCACAAAGCAAACCCACCAGCCATCCTTCGCTCTGAGTCAGCTCGGAAATCCGAGTAACTTTCTATCGAGATCTCCGCTAAGAGACATCTGGTGTGAGGCAGGTCTTTGTGAGTGTGATTATTGACGGTTTTTCATAGCAAGCTGACTTTTTAACATCGCCAATTTTTTTGAAAATGCTGACGCAATTTGTGGACAGGCATTTCAACACTGTTTTTCTGCTTTCGAGGGTAAGGAGGCCAAAGTTGAGTGACCGGGAAGGTTAGCGGACTTAATAGTTGTGCGCCGGACTTGGGTCCAAGGCTCCAAAGGGGCCTCTGGGGCAATGTCGTCTTCCTCCTGTCTTCGTGGTTTCTGGGGGTTCATTCAGCTTTCAAGTTTTTTTCGCCCCGCGAAAGTCCTGTTTGCTCGGGCCTGGGTTTGCTCGGTCTACCGGTTCCAATTTGGTGCCCATTGTTCGACCAGACAAACAGACTGAGACGTATGTCCACTCAACTTGTTGGCCAAACCGCGCCTTGAAACCTTTCCGGATCAAGAGCAAGTGGACCATCTGGATGTGACGGGTCCAAGTAGCGGTAATCCTGAAGGAGGCAGAAGTAGGAACGGAAGTCAAAATGGCTGTGTCTACCATCGGATTTTCTATCCTGTCATTTGAAATTGATCGTGCTTGTCTGAACGACATGTCGGTGAAGCGGACGCTTAAGGTCTTGAGGGATTCAAGAGGGGATTCCTTTTCTATCAAATGTCACATACTTTATTTTCCACTTCCAATTTTCACTACTATGCATGCTTCCTGTAGTAAACTTCCATCAAAGATAACTGCTGATACGTTATTTTCATTGGATGGCTTGACCGATATAAGAGTTCGGTTAGTGTACTCATTATGACTCGCAAAACCGCACAAGCGGAGGTCGCAAGTTTTCTTCTTTCGGCTGAAGGATCACAGCAAAAGTTGATAATCTGTTCGTTAAAAACTTGAGCAGTCGCCTGTACTGTAAAGTTCACGAACGCATGCACTGCGTCCAGCGGTTTTATCGACTTTCAGGAACGTTCTTTAGCGGCTAATGTGATAACATTTCGTCAAGTACCAGTGCCACCATCTTTGGGGGAGTGTGCGAGTGCACAAGTCTATATGGTTCATAACCACAAGCTTCTAGGTACCAGAGCATCCTAGATGATTTAGGAACTCGAGGCCCTCCGGCTATTGCATTATCGCAGGAGCCGATGCGATTTTCGAAACATTCGGAGCGGCATATGTTCGGGGGCAACAATCCAAGTGATTCCTATTTAAGTTGTAAAATGCGCAATTGTGCACTTTCGCACGTTACATTTCGGATTTGAAAACCCAGTTTGACGAGCAAGGACGTGTCTGCCGTATGCGAAATGAAACCAATTGAATACTGCATTTCATGTATTTTACCTCCAATATGATAGAGCTGTACATTTTCCCAGATTTTCTGCTACCTACCAGCATGTTTTGGGACAACAGGAGAAGTGTTTTTTATATCACCTGTTATTGATACTGTCGCAAGCATTTTCCTGCAGCCGGAGACCAATGACGACGTAAGAGCCTTCTCCCAAATTTCCTCGAATTTGGTGTTGGCGTTTTTATAAGGCAATACATCATGCCCAACAGTGCGCTGGCCGTCGCGAACGCAACAAGTAATGTATTTTCTTTTGCAATTCATTCATTATGTTCATACTATAAGGATCATTACCAAACGGTTTCAGCCATCTACCTTCTTTCTGCGGATTTCAATGCCCTGCATATATCCAACCTTTGGAAGTATTCAGCCATTTTGGAACTAATTCACGTAAATGCCCCACCTTTCTTATGTTCATAAGCACATTCATTCCACCGAACGCATCCAAATGGAACAAATGAAGAGTACCACGTCGTGCATAATGTGACATTCACGGTACCGCCTTAGTCGATGCCAAGCATGGATGCCTCAAGATGGAATTGGTCATAGTGCGTAGTGGAATGCTGAAAGCCATGCGGGTTCCACATAGTGCGTGGTATGTAGACCTCAGAAAGCTATATGGGGGTTGTCTCATCGCAAACTTCGCATTGTTGACCTTCTGAAATAGACAGGTTGTGCCCTTGAATGCTGCCGTTTTCACTTTCCAAAGTCGCACCGGACTTGTTATAAACCCAACCACTTACGGTTTTGAACAGCGAAAAATACGGAAGCAACTTGATGGCTAGTCGAAAAGAGAGTCGGTCACGCAGCCCAAAACTGAAAACGCTGAAAATAATTAATTATCCCATGTTGATATATACTGCGCTTTGCAACACAGCACAGCGTAGAAGCTAACAAACTGCATTTATGCACCCACTGGACCCGGGAAAACAACGGAGGAATTGCCATTTTATTCGCACTAATAGATATGCCACGGCTTGGAGCTAGAAGAAACATCGCCTCATTGAACGCATCTTCGAATGATGTTCGAGCTCCCCATGAACGTTAGAAAATATGAACATTCCGCCATATATGCCATGTGGCATCGCAGTTTCTTTCAGCTAGGGGTCCAAGAGGACTTACCCCGTTTAATTTCTTACATCCCAGCAATCTGATCATAGACACGCACTTTGCTGACGAATGTCAAACGCTACAGGCTGTATTGTTGAACTCGGATGCACCCACTCTCCATAAGTTGTATTTCTCGAAGGACTTGTAACAGAAAATCTCGTTGTCCACGACGGAACACATGTCGCTGACATTTCAAACTCAGGCAAGTGAGGAAATGTCCCAGCTATTTAAACTGGCGAGCAAAACTAAGGCACTATCCTTGGGCGGAACTCCTCGATGGAGCATCAAAAGGAGAAAACAACATATGTGCTTTCTGCGGTTTGAAAGATTTGGGGGAGAGGAAGGAAGAACAATAAACTTGGTTCAGTGTCCTTATTCCTCACCGTGGTCTCTGAATCTCCCAATGCGAAAGTATTTGGGAGGCAACAACGAACAGACGACTGAATAAAGTCACATGTACTGATCTACCGTCCATCCGCAACTTATGGTGAAGGCACACATGCGTTATACCTCCCGTGTCGTTGTACCGAATTTGCCAGGCAGATGATAAGAATTTTGTGCGTCAAGTGCTTGTGTCCTAAAAATTGGTCAATGTTGTCACAAAGAATATGTTAGTGCGGATCCTCATAGCATGCTGAGTTAAATTTTTCAGGGGTATATGAAGAGTGCATCATATGCTGTTTTGGTTTCTTAGTTCACACTTTGTGAGGTTGGGGTAATAATGTTAGCAGATGAACACATACTTTTCCGGTGTAAAACCTTTAGGAAATTATTTGCCTTTATACTGTAAGGGTGATTCCGCGCTGATGCGGCTTTTCGCATATGCACTGCTCGATACGCAAGATCGAGGCTTTTGATCACGCTCATCGATTCGGCTTTGTTCTTGTGGCTCAGCGGCTCTCATTCTCGATACAGTGGTATTCATTGCAATGAACCGTATGGTTTACGCGTGCTGCGGACAAAAGGCCCATTTCTCAAGTGATTGGACAGAAGATTGAGACACCTGTTGGTTCGGCATCAAGCCGAGCTCCGAGTAACCGGAAGTGTGGACACAACATCCAATCATGATCCAGTATCCGCCGAATGCTGGTTGCCTACGGTGAGTCTAGAGGGTGCCAGAATTTCCAGAATGTTGTCGTCAAGTGCACTTTATATGCGACGCACTGTTGGTGGGTTGTAACAAGGTGTTGGGAATCAATATACGCCGTGCACGTTTGGTATTTCCCTTTGACGAGATCGCTTGCTTCAGATTTTTAGACCGAGAGCTTAGCTGGTGTATTAGTTTCGCCACAAATATGACGAACGTAGAAAGACTCCAAGCCTGAATTGTGCAACATTTATCAAAGTTGATGGGTTACTATCATCTTATATGTTAGTCATGCAGAAAATTCAGACTCATCTGCCGCCTGTCCGCACCAGCTGTGTATGGTATTCTCCGCGAAAGCTTGAGAGCACCAACGTAAACAAGGTAGGCCAACCGTAAATCCCCTGGAAATACGCCGATAGTTGTTTCACTAATTCTGGCAATAAACAGGACTCAATTTGCAGCGGGGAGATAAAGAGACGTCTGCATATTGATAAGGCAACAGAATATTGATGGCTAGGGTTTTCGTGACCAACGAAACTCGACCAACCGTCACAAATAATCATCATATGAAAATTCTGCGTTTTTCAAATGTAGCAGGAGTTAGCTAAATAAAATAAATGCGCCTATCGCGATTACTGTGTACAGTGGTTCTAGAGTTCCCGGACTGACAACACAATATTAAAGATGTTAGATGAAATAGCCTCACCAGTAATTGTTCTCTTTAAGATAGGCCAGCGAATAAACAATAATCCAACCATGGCTGTCCAGGGATCTTCTTCTGAACATTTCCCACATATAATGGATTCTGCATGAAATTGTACAGGTGAGTTTTTTTAATTTTTCGTATTCAAACAAAAAACGGCTATACAATCGACAAACTACGTAATAGTATGATGGAAGCAAAATAATGGTACACAACACTACATCCGAATCATAGTAATTGCTGTCCTTGAGGATTTGCTCAGGTAAACAAATCAAGAGTTCAGAAGCTTTATGGAAATATGCACTAGATGCATACATTCTTGAATATGAAGTATTAACCCCGAACTCCTCGTAGTTTCCTAGAAATCGAATCACCGAATACCGATCACCCGAAATAGCAAACCCATATCCGAAACCCATTACTTGCAGCAGTCCCGCGCTCAGTCACCCTTAGTCTTAGTCTGTGGCAGGAGGACGGGGTCCGCTCGCAGCCCATCTAAGAAAAACCTCGCACAAATTATTCTGAAGTAGATTCCATAGAGTTTCGACAACTGAACTTCACGTAGCCCAGGCACTCGTTTAACTGAACTGGCGAAGGCAGGCCACCATTCAAGCGCACAACGCGGACCAGCCCTTTGTTATCGCGTCTGCAATGAGTGGCGGGGATCTAGAAAACGGTATCGTGAACGATGAGGAAGTTGGTTTTTTGTCTTCCCCCAAACCCGTCCTTGGTAACAACACCTCTAATGAGAAGCCATACGGCTCCTTGTTAACACGGGAAGATCTATTGCGGTTGGAGTCCGAAGAGCCCATTTGGCGTCGAGTTCGTTTGATTCTTTTGATCGCCTTCTGGGTCTTGTGGGTTGGGTTGTTGGCTGCTGCAATCGTTATCATTGTTGTGACGCCCAAATGTCCACCTACCCCTGTCCTCAGCTTTTGGCAGAAGAAGGTCGGCTACTGGCTAGATCCGTTCTCTTTCTCTGATTCTAACGGTGACTTCATTGGAGACTTCAAGGGTAATGATACCATATTTCATCTTATCCGTTCTAGGTATCGTCAACAAATTGGACTACATAAAAGATGTGGTTGGTGCCGGGTTTATCATCCTTAGTTCCATCGTTTCCGGACACTATTCCAATGCTGCGACTTCTTTGGGACTTGTGCGGAACTTCTCTACGATCGATCCAGCTCTGGGAACGCTGAATGACTTCCGGTCACTCATCAAGACGTACCACAGAAGTGGCCTGGAAGTCGTAATAACTTTGGACTTCAACTCCATTTCGACTACACATGAGTGGGTCAAAAAGCCTGAGTTCCTACGGGCTCCGCTTCCAGGATCTGTGGTAGGATTACAGACAGGTTTAACGTTTTTCTAGGTTGCTAGGGATGGCTCAAAGCCAACTGTAAATCTTAACGGGAAATCCTATTATTCTGTTGGTGACAAGAACTCAGTCGATCTTAATTTGTCGTCGGATGAAGTGGTTCAAAATTTAGAAGTACGTTGTGCCTTATGTTCTATACGCCGTAGAGTGTTACAAAATACTGGTTGAATGAAGGCGTAGATGGAATCTTACTATCTAGTGCTGCTTTCTATGTCGAAGAAGAAAACGAAGCGGAATATCCCATGTTGAGTTTGGTGAGACGATTCTCGAATATCTTTACCATATATTTAGGTTAATGCAACTAACCCTTGGTTCGAAAACTACCCTTCAACTCAGCTTTTCACGAATGGTAGTGTCCAGTTTGTTACAAGGCTGCGTTCCCTCGTGGATTCGGTTTCAAAATCCAGTGGAAGGGAGAGGCAAGCACATTAATATTGCTGACCACTATCTTGGCAGGTTGCTCGCAGTGGACCCTGGTGACTGCGGCTATGGCCTGAGTGACACTGTGGACAAATCGATAGATTTCTTGGGTACCAAAGATCATCCTGCAGCACATATGGTGATCAGCCGACAGTTCGTCGAACACCGTGGATGGTACGCCATTTTTATTTCGTCTACCCCTTCCATTTAGGAAAGCGCAGCCCAACGTAACATCTTGGCAAGAAATAACAATTCGCTCATATCATCCGGTGACCTCGAATGCCAAGGCTGCATTGGCACTGACCACGGCGACACCAAGCGATCATCGTCATGGTGATATCGCCGCTCTAGCATCTATTTTCTTGCTTCCAGGTATGTGTTTTTTCTCAAACACTAGACGACGCATATTAATCTGAGGGGGTTTTGCTGCAGTTGGATGCCTAATAGTAATTCGAATTAGATGATGAAATATCCTATATAGCTGGTTGGTGATTATTTCTACTAACGAAGACACGTCTGCGGCGGTTGGTGCGCTTGTCGTTGTTTCTCTTTCAGTGAATGGCTGCGTAATCTTGTAGTGTTGGATAGGTTCAGCTACTGTTCCACTGTTGCTCGGGTGTGTTTTATAACTTGGCCTCAAAACAAGATTACCCGGGAGACCTGAAATGCCTCTCATCAGAGTGTTGTACTGTCGCCAAGCTCTCTGGTTCTGTCAACAGACGCTAGTCGCGCATTAACCCGGGACACACCTTTGAAGGCATACTCAGTACGGAGTCTGATGTGACATTCCAGGATTACCCGGGTGCTTGGTGACTTGACCTATGAGTGTCATGTCAAGTAGTTTGAAGGAAACGTCATCTCTCCATGTACCGAAATCTGTCCTTTTCGTATCTGGGGCAGTCTTTCCCAGTTCATCGAAATTGCACCCGTCCTAAAGAAGTGTCACAAATTGGTACCATGTGTGTATACTGATTAACCATTCAACCTGTATTTGACATTGGAGTGAACTAGGCTGAATTTTTTACAATTGGGATTGCCAACCTAATGTACTAATCGCGTCCGCATTCCAGTGGATTTGGCTCGTGCTACAATCCATCATAGAGGCCGAGACTCCAAATATTCTGGCTTCTCGCTCCAAGATAAGGGTGTGGATCTAGGGATGCTTTTAGTTTCTTCTTCCATAAACCGATTCTTCAGCGTTTTAATTTTCACTTTTGGCTATTAATGTGCAATCTACAGTTGCCGCGCTGTTTTCTGAAAAATCATCGTCACCCTTTAACTTTTCATATTTTTCTTGCAACCTTGTGCCAGGCACCCCTCTTGTATACTACGGGTCTGAGCTCGCGATTCAGCTAATCCCGAGCTTGAGCTCTCCGGAAGACATCTATCCGTTCGGGAAAGTACCGTTTCCGAATCTGTCAAAAAGGGACAGCGAACTGGTTTGCCAACTTCCAATGCCGTGGGATCGTTCCGGCGCCGGGTTTTCATCATCACTATCGAATAACACGTTCGCTAATTACTTGAAGCAGTTTGGTATTGTTGAAACGGTTGATGTGAGTGTCATGCTGGTTATTTGTTAACTGTCCACTAGTTACTGTGTACCCGTTTTTAGCAGTACTTAATGGCACGTTCAAAGCATATTGCTCATCAGTTAGGGGGTAACATGCCATGCTGGCTTTTTTGTGACTACACAATCACTGCGACAGTATAGACGAAGAGGTCTTATGGCCAAGTTACACATTAAAATTTCCCACTTCAAACCTTGGCGGACCTTTGTCAGACAATTTCCTCTTTGGACTACCTTGCATCCGTAAATTTCGAAATAGCACAGTATGTAACCCACATTTGTTTCCAGTTTTGTGCAACCTTTAGTTCTTTCTTGAAAAACGTGACGGGACCGTTGCGAACCGAACCGCTCCTAACGCTCTTGTAGGTCATTGTAGTCCAAGTATTATCTACATACTATTTGACTTCCATTTGTCAACGGTGTAGGCTGCGTAGCGTTTCTAGCCGCCTGTTCAGCTTGCGGTGTACTATGTTTTTCTTTCTCGATGTCATCGAAAACCTTTAAATTGTTAGAATACTCTGCCTCCAACCTTTATCGCTAGATCTCGTTGTATATTTAGTTGTAGAAACACTAATTTAACTGGACGGTGATATATGCATGTATTTGCATATTGCTTTACCTAAATTACCCTACTTTAACATTTCTTCTGTGTCATCTTCCTATTCGTAGTCGGCGCTTTCGTTCGGGCGTGAAAATACACCCCTCAAAATGGTACAGGAGCTGATCAAGTTGCGAGAAAAACCAAGTTTAAAATGGGGGGAATTTGAGATGCTTGAGTCCGGGGAAGAGGTACGTCAAACACGTTTTTAAATGGTTCAGGTTTGAATATCACGGAATTCGTCGAGCTGGTTCGGTTGTGCGTTCAGCAAAGCTTAGAGACGTGAACATCCTCTGGAACATAATTTGCATCCCTTCCGGTTGTGTCGTGTCCGGGTCTTAGTCCGTGGTGACTGAATCTGTCAGTTACTGCTGGGTCACTATCTGATTACTGGTTTGTTTTCAGTTTGTGCTTTGTTGAACGAAAGGGCATTTTTGGAAGGTTAGTCTGTTAGCTTCCACAATGAGAGTCACTGCGATTTTTACAGCGTCATCAAGTTGTCCAGCTTGTCAGTTATAGATCATGTACCTGTGTACGTTGGTCGCATTTGCTCCAATTTCGCTCACACAAAACTGGAAGAGCAAAGGGTATATAGGCAGGCATAGAAGGCGTAATTGATTAGTTTATGTTGAACCACTCTGGTTGTCTGTTGAGACAGGAAACTGGACAGACGCACACAAGGCAATAGCTTTGATGCAGGAACGCCATTGACCGAGCGACGCCTGACAGTGTTATTAAACACCGATGAGTAGATTCCCGAGCCCGGTATCCACGGTAGTGACAGCTGTCAATCCAACTGAGTTTACTAACCAGTGCTTTCATACTTCGTTGTCATGTTCGCTTGTTGGTCGTCTGCACTCACCACAGAGCTGGTTATGCGAAGTACACGTCCCAAACAGCATAAGTCACTGGACATGATCAGCTAGCCGATCATCTGACGGTCTGCTCTTTCCAGATTCACCGGGCATACCTCAGCATTGCCAATCCGGTATCCTACCAGGCACAGTCAGTGCTTCAGAGGCACCGATGGTCATAATCTTAGTGACCACGGTCCTGATCCCTAAAGCAGTATTAATCACATTGTCCTACTGCATGCCGTGCTCTTGACAGACAAACTGACGTCAGGTCGGTGTCATAAGTATCGTATGTTGGCAAAAACTTCACCGGTCTTCACGATCCGGTTCGGCAGACTGTACAAATGCGTCGACTGGCTGGTCCGTAGGTAGGTGGTTTTGATTTGATCCCATCTAAATTCTATCAGCACATCACACTGAAGATACGAAATGCATATCAGACCATGGGGTAGAATTATTCTGGTTATCTAAAATGAATTGCATCTCCAAGGTGTCTAATATAAGTGATGCAATACTCTATATGCGAACAGACATCCCCGGAAGCATTTCGATCCCCGAAGTTTCACAGGCAGACAGTCGTTTCAAGGGATACTTCAGTAACAAAGCTGACGAGGTATTGTGAGAAAGACGGCCTTGTTTCGCACTACTGGACGCGACAAACCCAACCTAGAGCTTGCTATATACCTGTACGCGCCCACATGGATGGCGCACAATGGATAAAAATTTAAAAAAAAACACCACCTTTGATCTCCAGGTACCCCTATGGTTTCTGATGCTTGACTGAATCAAAGTCAGCCTTCAGATCACCAGCTCGTCAGTTGAGTGTTACTTTTCACAAGAGCTGTTCGGTATACCTTAAGCGTTGCCGACCCAGTGTGTCCTACCAACCCCAGATGATAAATCGTAAGTAGTCACTAAGAAAGTTTTGGCGTTTTCTTGCACTTGACAGGCTTTTGGACACTAATGTACTGTGGTGCTACCCACGAATCTTTGACAAACGTCACACCCATGGTATACATGTAACATGTTCGTTAGCACCGATCAACCTTCCTGATCTGAATGGAAGTAACATTTTTGGCGAAAACTACAATACCTATACCGCTATCCAAGTAAATATATTGATCTACCACGACTATTAACTCGAGGTAGCCAAGAGGTTCAGTTTAGATTCGACCCAATTTCGCAACAGCACTTTTGCAGGCTTCCTTAGCCTTGCTTCACACCTTTCAGTTCGTTACAGGTTTTTTACGGACTACCTTTGTCTTATACGACGCTGTTTTTCATTTCAAGGTGGATGATATTGAGCTGTTCAAGCGAGAAGCCATCGGACATCCGGCTTTCATTGTCGCGGTAATCAAAAGGACGCCCAATTATGCTGCAACTTTCAACTTTGCTGGTGTATGCGGTCGTTTTATTCCACGCCTAACCTATCCTCTTCGTCCGGCGCTAAAGCTTAACGAGGCCATTGATAGTAGCCGCATATACTTGCAATCTGACAGTGAACCAGCTGTCTACGTGTTTGAGTGCGCTTAAACAGACCTGCTTTGCTCTTCGTTATCCTAAAATTAGTCGTTTAGTCTTCGGTCCTCTATTGTGCTAAATACATTTCATCTGCTTACTGCGCTCCTTTTATTTTGGCAATAATGTGCATGGCTTTTACAACGTTTTAAGTAGCGTATTGTTGGAGTGTGATTCTCGTTCTGACCAGCTCTTTGCTTACTCACGAAGAGACTGAACCTTACCGTTGTGTGACGACTTGTGCACCTCAGCGACCCGTTGAGCTATACTGGGGGTGGGGCGTCACGGCGATACTCACAGTCTCATACCAGGTTGGTCAATGGTTAGAGGTCTGACGAACACAGTCTCCAGTTTCGATGTGGGAACATGTGGCGCCTTGTTCCGTAGAAATGCCTAATGCATTTGCATTTCCTAAAAACACCGCTGCCTTGCGGCTAGGCTTTGGTTGAGGACCCTAATCGTCTTCCTGTTTAGGTGTGGGCGCCCTGGCAGTATCCTAGCCTACGTACAATCATGGCAGCGAAGCGTCGGTGTCGAATACTGATACCATGAATTGCACATACACAAATAAACTCGTGCCACATCGGCCGTCGCGTGGTGCCATCAGCCGGGTCACCTTACTTGCCGCATACAGCAGGGAGGGTAAGCGAAAACAGGCTACTGCTGACGCCTTCCTTCTTTCTCCTTCACATGCTTTTTCTTCCCCACCCCATTAATAACTCTCTCCTTGTAGGCCCAGCACTTAGGACTGATGACTCCGTTCGTCATGCATCGGTTTTGCGTGCAGCATCTGCTCGGAATGATTGTGTTAAGCTAGCACTAAGTCCCTTACCCATCCACCTTTATTCTTTTCTTTACAATAAGGCTTTCAAATAAGTCATGGTTGTATGGCAGTGAAGCATCAGTGTTGAACACTGATGTCATGCTGTCGATGATGATGATGATGATCAGTGATGATTACTCACAATCCGACTGGTTGTAAATCATTTTTAATTCCAACGGATAACCAGTCCTAATGGAATGCATGATTACTGTGAAGCTGTGCGCTTTTATTCTAACTAGCTGTTACTAGTGAAGACCTAGTGGCATGTTTAAATACCCAGCCACAGGAGACATTTCGTCCTTATTGAACCGTGCGCATCCGGTAGAACTCTAAGTGACACCGTCAAGGCTGCAAAGCACGTACATTTTGTCCTGTGCCATATGTGTAGGTTGCAGAAGACAATGTCTTTAGGACGTCTACAAATACCTCAACTGGATGCAGTCAACCATGATTTCTGTATATGCTTACGTGACTTGCTCCGGCATGCTCTTAAAGCAAACACTGTCATTCTCATAGGGGACCTGAATGTTAGTATTTATCTAGGAATATCTGAAATGAATTTGGGTGGTCGGTTCGGCCTATAGCGTTTTCGATTGGATCGTTTAGTATTATTCCTGAATTTGTGTTCAGGCCGCAAACCTTTTCTCGAAACCACAGACGTTTGGAAAGGCAGCTACTGCCCTGTTTCCAGAGAGCTACAGGTATCGTAGCCAGTTTTGGCATGACTCATCCACTTTTCTAACCGAGAAGCACTGTGGAGCATAATGAAACCAGGGGTACTCCAGAGAAGTGAAGCGGGCTGGTAGGACCACATTACATTGTCACTCACCGCTAGTGTTGTGGGACTCAAGCAGCTAATCCGATAGTTTGGACATGGTCTTCGCTATCCACTTACGAAGATATCTCGGCAGTGTGCTCCAAGGCGTCGATAAGGCCAGCTGAAAATCTAGTGGACAATGCTCGATATCATTTGGTTCGGTAAGAGGTCTGTGGTGTATCTCAGTAGAGCCGATGTTGACTGAAAGGTAGCGTTTTGGGGTAGTCTAGAATATCTCATCTCCACGCAATGGATAGTAAGTAAAACCCTTGAATATAAGTTGACTACATCGCCATTAGCCATGGGTGGCGTGGCAGCGCATAAGACTGTCGCACATGCTTGTGACCGCAGTTTATATGCACTAACCGTACGTACAAAAACCTTTTCTTGTGGTTCATAGCAACAACACATGCGGTGGATGGGTGGCCAGGTTGCCAGAGCTGTTACACAGGAAAGAAGTATTGGATTTGGCAGCGTTATTCTCAATCGGTAGTAGTGGATAAGGCGAGTTGGTCAAACAGCTGGCGATCAAATGCTCGATCGGCGTTTGCTTGTACGGTGGGGCGCGATTGTGGGGAGATATCGATGGATAAATGACTACGTACAAATGTGCCTTCCGATTTCCCAGGCATATGAACGGAGTTTAGTTCAGCGAATATTCACTCATTTGCAAACTAATTTGGTTTTTCGAGAGACTCACCTGGAACCCGGCTGAATCTCTCGGTTTTGGTGTTTTCAGAGTTTAGTTCAGGTAGCCCACCATGAGCCTTTGACTCAAAAGTATTCTAGAGGTTCTATTTACAGCAAATCAAAGTTGACCATAATCCTAATAGGCAACTGCTGTGGGTGATACAATTTGACGGTTTGAACATTCTTAGTCTAGTGAGAATGAAGAACACGAGATGGCCGTGATGCTAATTCGAACACTACTCAATGCCTCAGCGTCTGACCCAGTGTGGAATTCATACAAGTGGATCATCGTTGCCGGGAACGGTTTCATCTGGTAACCCTGAGGTTGGAGCTCAGCTGTAATCCTCCCTGTGGCTGGTCGACTTCTCATCCTAGATATTGTTATGCCCTTACGATATGCGAACCTGGGCATTCCATTAATCCATTTTCACTGACTCTGTAGTGCATTAATTAGGATAGAGCAAAAACTCAAGTTGGCCACTTGAGCTCCAAACCACAAGTGCCTCGTTGGGGGTGTGCCGAACATCATTTCTCATCTTAGTTGATACCGATATACCAGGTTTCATATACCTGTTATACACAATTGAATGGGGATCGCTCCAGTCCGTCTATGTTGGTACTGTGGCTAATTATTAAAAGGCGGTCATGTGCAGCTACCGATTTGAGCCACTGCACGATGAAGAGATGCCAATATCTTGGCTTTGTTCTTCTTTATCCGGATATCCCGATGGATTTGCTTCTCGGGTCTGGATAAGCACATGTTTTGTCAGGAAAGCACCCATCTGCGTCAGTAGCGTAGCACATAGTCTCAGCTGGTAGTTGCCACCGACTTGGCTTTTTGGAAGATGTATACTTGTGCACCGATGCCTTCAAAAGCTCCAGGTATGAAAGCGTACGACATATCGTAGTCCCTGCATATATCCTTACAATTCCAGTGTGGATTATGATTGTTGCAATTTGGGGGTTCTGCGAGATAGGTATGTTTGTTCATAGCCAAACCACTCTCGTTTGAACGTCCGTGTTCCTGTTCTGGCGTAATTATTCCGGTGAGTCCACACCAAAGGGAAGCACTGGACTCGAGTTTCGCTCTTATTAGAGCTCATCAGCAGTGCATATCCAACGGCCGTGCCGGGATTTGAACCCCGGACATCTGACATGCGAGGCGAGCGTGTAACCACTACTCCACCAACGCACGTTGGACGTATCTGAATTATCACGTCTGAACAGGCGAACGTGTTCACACTTGAGCGATGTGATTGGTGTGCCCGACTCATCGAACGACGACCCAGTAACTGTCCTGGTTGTGACGATCGATTGACCCGCTTCGATCGCTTAGCCAAGTTATGAACCTTGCATTTTGTGAAAGTGTGCAATCAAAATCCGTAAATTTAGGCGGAGTGCGGCCCCGTCTGGAAGGTGCATGCAATAGAAACTGACCTGAGGATTCGAGGCACTGTGCAACTTGTCCGCTAAATTGGCTCAGCATGCACATGTCCATTTCTGGATAGGGCTGGTTTCAGAACCGTAAAATCAGCCGAGCAAAATACCAAATGGTGCCATTGGTCGCAGGAACAGAAGTTCCGATGATTCTGTTCAGGCGGTTGTAGCCTAAATAAACATAAAAATGATGTTTATCTGGCACTCATTTCAGTCTCTGAGACTATTGCCTTTTTTACACAATATTGCTATGTACATTAGATGAGCCCACCCAAACCGATATCGTTGGCAGTTCGCTTGCGCTCCCAACATGGTGAGCTGTTGGAGACCTGTGGTCTTTTGGTTAAATCCTCACATTACTCTTCTCAAAATATAAAGTACCAATTATTCATATGCTTACTAACACTGTCTGTGGTACCAGTGTGGCCCGTCTTTGTTGAACTGATGTTACCAGCACGATCCCCGTTCAATACCCTTTTTTATCTGTGGTCTGCCTTGGCCCAGTGTAGAACCATTTGAATGCCTTTTAGCCCGCTTAAACCAGGGGAATGTGCTCAAAGAGCGAATTGAAAGGAGCAGTTCCAAATCCGTCGGCACACCAAACCGGTGTGTACAAATGACTGATCCTCCAGAGCACTACATAACCTTACTTCAAAAAGTTCAAAAAGGCACTGCGTGAAGTCTTTTAATTGTGCCGCAGTAAACTGACGCGTTAATTGTGAACCGGCTAATGATAACACGGTCTGGGAAAGCAACACATAGTTGTGTGACACAACAAACTGTTTTGATTTTATGGCCAGCGACAAAAGTGTCTTTCACTTTCGGTAGTAGTAAGAGAGATCGCAACATGAGCCAGTGCATGTGGTTTGGCAGTTGCATTATGAAAAATATCATCAATAATGTCAACCCCACATTTTATCTTACTACCATTAATGTTCACCTAGATTTCGATCATTCTTTGCCTGCACTTCAGGATTATTGGTTTCGGTGAATGGACGTTCCGCAATGACGTATCATGACTATACCGAGTGGTGGGGAAAATGATTAGCTTATCGCGTTAAGTATGAGGCTGAAATGCTGAATTCCGTTCCGAAGCCTTTGTTTGATCAGAACGGAAGTTCGATGTACCAATTGCGCCCTAATCTTTGGGTCTCATACGCATTTGCTGCTGTTCTCAGATTGTTTACTCACCATCACTGGATGACGTAGTGGATTGGAGAACTAGCGAAACCGCTACCAAGCCGAACATCCAAAAAGTCCCGCACGCTCACGTCATCTGGTCCGAGCGAACGGGTAGCGGACTGTTCTGATCTGATCAGTACATGCTTAATT